GCCCATGTGCTGTTGCAGTTCTGTGGAACGGCCTGGGTGGTGGGCCCTGTGGGTGCAGAGATGTTCTCATCCCACCTGCCCCGGGCCTGCTGCCCGTGCCGTGCTGCGCTGCCAGAACTAAAACTGTGGCATCTGTATTTTCCTTCATCTCTGTTACACCCATAACGGGCCCAGGGACGGTGTTGCAGACTCTGCAGCTGCAGCGATGAGCGTTTCTCCTTAGGGGTGAAGAGGCTGCACAATCCTCTCTGTGTGCGGTGACTGCCCAGTGTGGGCTGGAGCCCCCCATGGCACCGCTTCCCACACAGGCTGCACAAGGGCCACCCTTCGTCTCGGCTCCAGCTCTGCGCCTGCCTTTGGGACTGTCAGAGGCAGCGCGTTGGCTGTGCCTGGCTTTGCTTTGGGAGCCCTGGAGCCCTCAGTGGCGCTTTCCAAACACTCCTCCCCGCTGGGCCGTGGCAGCCCCGGCCGCACTCAGGGCTGCCTCTGCAGGCGCCTGGGGGATCACTCCGTGATGGGGCAGCCCTGTCCCCCCGCCACCACGGGGCTGAGCCCCGAAGGGTTTGCAGGGAGTGGACACAGAACCTGCAGCCCCTGCTGTGCTGGCTGGAAGGGGCTGGGGACGAGCTGAGCTCTGGCGGGAGCAGCAAATCCCAGTGGGCAGCGATGCCCGGGCTCTGTCCCGAGCAGTGCCACTCGCCGCGGCTCGGCCGAGCTCTTGGTTGTGGGGCAGGGCCCAAACCCCCCTACCCAGCATCTTCCTCTGCGGCCTGGACACTGCTCCCGGGTCGTGCTGGCGATGGACCGAGCGGCCCAGGAGTGCGTGGAGCCTCGTCACGGCTTTCACCCACGTGGCTCCAGCTGCTCCCGGCTCCCTGCAAGGTCCCTGGGACCTTGTTGATCAGCACCGCAGGCGGCACCAACCCATCGGGACAGTCTAGGAGCAACAGGAGACAGGACAGCAGAGACAGCAGTTGAAGACACCTATTCACATTTATTAGCTTGTTGATCCAATGCCTATAAGCCAAAAAAAGGGCCTTTTTTTAAAAAAAAAAATTATGTCAATGTTGGGCAATATTTCTCCTAGTGACACATTTAGCAGCTCTTTTGTTGTATGTGGCACATATGGACCCTGCAGTAGGTTCGTTACCCACAGGGATAGACTGTGTGCACTCATGTCCTTCAGGAAAGCACTAAAAACGTTTTTAACGAGCTGAGCATGGCTAAGTGGATACAGAGAGGGAAATATTTTCCCAGTGAATGAAGCGACACAACCTGGTATATGCAAACTTGCATCTTCTTTGTATCTTCTCTGCTTCTCCGTGTTCCTACACTTTCTTTCAAACTGTCCCATTTCATTTTAAAAGCCCATTTGTTCAGTTTGTTGTAAATATCTCCTCCTCCTTAATTGGGTGCTGAGTCTAATAATCCTGCCTCAGCTTGTTAACTGTACAATAGCAGTCAGAGTTAATGACCCATTAGTGATTAATTCCTTAACCAGCATCTAATTGCTCACTGTAAAACCTTTTCTTAAAACTGGATTAAATCATCTAGATCCTTAACCACTTCTTTACTCTAACTTTGCTAAGGCTATTAGCCCAGCCTTTCTGCGTGAGCTATTTCTTCTTTTGCTTAACCTGTTTTAGCAAGACAGTATTTTTAGTGTCTGTATTTGAATTTCTTGCCACATTTGAGGTTTTAAGGGAAGAATTATATCAATAAAAGCCTGCAAGCAAAAAGATCAAAAAAACAACTCTTCTCTGAACATCACTGCCTCCCTCTGACCAGACGGCACTGAGGAGGCCAAGTGCTCCCAGGAGATCCCAGGATTCAGATGTTCTGGGCTCCCTCCGGCCAAACCGTGGCCCTGGGTAGGGAACTCTGCCCCCATCCCTCCCCGCTCCGTTCAGTGGGATACACAGGCCCAGTGAGGGCCCTGCCTTTGCTGGGGGAGCTTCCGGACATGTGTCCAGGTAAACCCAATGCAACAGGTCTGAGCACCATGTTTTACAGTTGGAGAGAAGACGAGTGGTCACATATTTACTTACACTGTGCAGACCCTTAGGTGTTCGCCTTTGGCATCAGTGTTGTGGGAAAGTAAAGTCAGCCCCCACCTCGCAGCGGCATCCACGCTGGCAGGTGATTCTAATCCTGGGTGACTTGTCCAGATGCTAAGCCCAGATGCGAAATGTGGACAGCTCTGTGGTAGTCATTCTTTCTAGGGGAGTCTTTCCACCATGTTGGGCCATCTTCATTCAGTCCAAAGCCTCAAGCTCATACACACTGCAAAGCTTTGCACCGGACAACGGCCTTAGTTACATTGAGGAGAAAACATGGAAGAATTTTGAGGGACTCTGAATCATGTGAAAAATGTCAGCCTGAACCCTGGTCCCCACACCAGCATCTCTCAAGCAGAAAGTGCATGCTCAATGCTCCTCCTCACCCTGCTCCTAATCCCGTGGGGATCCAGGCAAGCCCAGAGCTCTGTTGTGAAGGTCAGCTGGGTGCTTTCCATGGAGCACAATGTGCTCCCAGCTCAGGGCTGAGCCGGGCCTGGGAAGGGGCCTAGAGAGGCGGCTCTGGCTCCGGTGACCCCAGCGGGAGCAGGGGGCTGCCCTGGCATCTGCCCACGGCCACAGCGGGTCACAGCATCGGCCACAGCTTAAATGTCTGTTCTGAGCTGCAGGGCTGTGGAGATGGTGGCAAAAATGCTTCCGTCTTCCACTGAGGATGAGCTAAGCCCTGCAGGTCCTGCTCCCACACTCCTGGCACCCCATGAGACCTTGGAGCTTCATCAGCTTCCTTCCATGGTTCACCAGTCACTGAAAAATCCTCTTAAAAGAGAAAAAAAATATGGAATAAAGCAAACAAAAGAAGCAGAAAACACAGCAGGAGACATTGCTTTGACCAGGATCATCACCCTGATAACATCCCCATTTCTTCTGGCGGAATGAATGCTGCAGCTCATCTTTGTGCCCTGCCAATGCACAGGGTGCAGGTGCATTGACATTAAGCGCTCTTCCCTCCGCCATATGATATATCTGCCCATTAGGGACACTGAACTCTGAAGTACTTGGGGTTGTGCAGACAAGGGATTGAGGCCAGCTGGGCAGGGTGGCCTCGAGGCCCTCCCGGGCCTGCAGTCGGGAGGGAGGGCAAGTGCAGGCAGCAGGCGCTGGATCAGGGCTGGGAGCAGCGAGGCCACTGCAGGAGGGAGTCTGGGTGAGCACAGAGCTGGCACCTGGCCTCAGCGGGAAGGTCCCTCCTTGGCTCCTTCCCAGTCAGCAGCCAGGGAGCGAGAGCAGCTCCAGACAGGAGGGATGCTGCTCTCGAGCAAGGATTTCAAGTAACGGGTGTCTCAAAAGACCAGTTTGCTGCTAGCTCCCCCCTGCACACGTGCCCCAGAAAAGGGGAATGCCATTTTGCATGCTGGGAAACAGAGGTATGGAGAAACACGGCCCGTTCAAGCTCAGATGGGGATGGTGAATCCCTGTGCACGGGCGGCCAGCACCTTCCAAGAGCTGTTCAGTGAGCCGCGTATCCCCGACGCTGGCACAAGCTCACAAGGTCCTTGAGGGCTCCTGCTCTGTGAGTGCTGCAGCTGAGATCAGGTCTCTGGCGCTGTGGGACCGGTGAGCAGGCTCCCACTTGGTGCCCGCACAAACGTCTCCCAGGTAGTGCCCTGGCTTGTGGGCCCGCTCTCCACCCCGTCACTCGGGTGTGCAGTACGCGCACCCATCGCTCCAGGGGCTCTGGCCATGTAAGAACCAGAGTCACCTCCCCAGACTGCTTTGCAAAGTGTCCCTTATGCTGCTGGGGGTTCCCTCCATGTCTTCCAGATGTGTGGGATGCCCTCCAGATGGCCCCTTACCCATGGGCTGCAGCACGCTGAGCACGGCGCAGGGAAATGAGACCCTGCCGGCTGCTCTGCTGGGAGAGGGCCCATCTCCCGGCTCCTCCTGTCACCTCTCTGGGCAGCTCTCCTTCCGCCTTTTCCAGCAAAGGACGCCACCGGGGCTGCCGCGACCTGGCACTCGCTGAGACAAATCGAACAACTTGGCAGAGGCCAAGCTGCACACGAGAAGGACTATGTCTGTGTCCAGATGTTCGTCCTTCAGACAGAGACATGGAGAGACTTGCAGAAAAGTGCATGATTAGCGTGTTTGAGTTATAAAAATCCTGGGCAAGTAGTTAAATACACCAGGAAGCCCCTTTAGGCTCATCATAGACCAGGATGTTTCCTGAGATAAATGGGATCAACTCTAGGATCCAGAAAGTCTGAGACAAAGCATGCAGGCAGTCACAGCCTGACGGGCTGTGCTCCTGGTCAGTACCACAGTGGCTTTTTCTCCACCGTTTTGTCCAGAGCAGAGTGCGAGGGCTCTGGATTGTAAATCTGGGCTTTACTTCGACCTCACTTCATCTAACGCCTGGGTTTGCTTTGCTCCACTGATAAAATCAATTAGCCTTGCAGGCTGGCACTTGTTCCTGCTTGGATCGATATACAGAGTGTCCCTCCAGATGCATTCGCTGTGAAGGAAAGCACTGAAATCTCTTGATTTCCACATGTTGCTACTTCCTTCTATTAACTTGCGTTTTTTTTTTTTTTTTTCTTCCTGCAGGGAAGAACCTCCTGCTCACATAGGATGATCCCAGCTTCTGGCAGGTCATTTGTGCAAACTCACCTGCTATCACTTTGTGCAAAATTGAATTAATCATTTCATGCATTTTTAACCAAATCCTACCTTCTAGGCATCTGCGATGGGACCAGGGGTCTCTCCTGCCATTCCTAACTCATCGGATGGGTGCAGTCCCATGGGACCTGTGCCTGCCCCGGGCCCATGCACGCTCATGCAGCGCTGCCGAGCACAAAGCTCGCAGCCAGCACAGCTCTTGCCATGTGTCATCTGCTGCACATGCGGCGCCATCACAGCCGCAAACAAGAGCAGCACTTTGGGGGCCCAGGAGACCAGGGAGGTGGTATGAGAGGAAGCATGTAGAGCCTCTGGGAGCCCCCCCCCTTGCAAGGGGTCCGTGCCCCATGTCCTGCTCTCCCACCTGAAGTCTCTCAGGGCAAGCATGCAGTGGGTGCTCTCCAGGAGGAGTGGGGATGCCCTAGCCAAGCATTCAGCACCCAGCAAGGGCTCTTTTGCTCCCAGGGCGGGTAAATGACCCCAGAGCCGCTCAGGGAGGTGCTGGTTGTTCTTATTGCTCATGGGCTGCTCCTGTCAGGATAAGCTACCAAAGTGCTCCTTGTCTTTACAGCACCAGAGGCTGAGTGGCACCTCCGGGGCTTCCAGTGTTTGGCCCCTGTGGGCTCACAGTGTTTGGGGGCCTGCAGGTCGCAGCCTCAGACACATGTGCCCATGTGCATGGTGTGGGCAGCAGTGCAACATGCCCTCTGTGTCCTGGGGGACAGTGTCACCTTCATTCACAGAAGATGATGAGTGGCCAGGGAGCAATTCAAGCCCAGAAAAAACAGCAGTACAAAATGAATCATCCCAGTATTTGCAATGCCCCAGCCAACTTCCACTTTGTTAATTCAGACAAAAGCACCAAGTCAGCCTTTTTCTTAGTATTATTTATTGTGAATGTTGAAAAATCATGTGGTTTCAAACTAAGAGGTGAACTGATTGAACAGGTAAGTCATTTGATTAATTGGAAGACCCTTCCTTGACAATTAGGTATACCAAAGCAGCTGAAGCAAGAAAATGCAACTCTCAAAACAAGTAGAAAGTTTGGTCAATGCTGAGACACACAAGAATGTGTATTTAGATATTTTACACAAAGGAAATCTTGTTTACAGAAAAGGAACCTTGGTTATTGGACACAATCAGGAGCTTGTGAAACAGAGTCTCTTGTGGAAGTTCCTCCCTTCCTCCAAGGCTGAGGGACCTTCAGCTCGGTGAGCTTTCCTTCATGTTCACAACTTGCAGCAGATACTCCATCATCTAATAAGAAGAGATGAAGAGCATTTAGAAAGCAGTGCTGACAAAAGTCACTCACTAAGTTAATAAGCCCAATATATAACTGCTCTGTGTTGGCATAACAAACACAGGCCTCATAATCTTCCCATCACCGACCCCATTTGTTTTGGTTAGCTTAAAAACTGACTGCCTGAGTAGGAGAAAAGCCACTCTCCCTGCAATTCTGCCTGCCATCTCATTTGTATAATGACTCGTTAGAGCTAAAAGTCAAGGCACAGAAATGATTTGAGGTTTATTTCCAATATATTTTTACAGTTAAGCCAACTTGCAAAATGAAGAATTTTTCTTTCTGATTTTTAATGCCTTTAATAGCAACCTATCCACTGAATGTAGAGTAGCAAGGTCTTAATTTGCTTGGTGCTAACTGAAAGAAGAAAACAGTACAGGTGCAGCAAGCTGAGCCCTAGAACTATTCTGTTCATCTCTCTCTATGGGGCTTTTTTTGGTTATTTGTGGGTTACAGCAGTTTTGCCTTTTTGAAGGGAATTTTTGCTTTTACTCCTGAGCCCCAGTGGTGAACAATGCACCAAAGGAACCTGAGCCAGACCTGAACTCGATCACCTGAAGTGCTTATCAGTATTTTCTTCTGCAGCCTCTAGCTTGGGGATCCTAACTTCTGATCTCTAATTTGGAATTTACATTTTAAATTAAGTCAACAGTCCATGAAATAAAGCCCTCGCGAGTTCATTTATTTCCCACAGCGCCTGCCTGCCTTCCCTTTCGTTCAGCGGACGGGAACGTGCCCATCACACGTGGATGGCAGCACCTCGGCAAGGACCCTTGGGCCGGGAGAACTGCGGCCTGACCATGGAGTGCTCCGGGACGCTTATCCCACCAGCCGGCCGTGAGCACTGACCGCTAGAAATACAGTGTCCAATCCTCCTGCAACAGGTCCCTGCTCCAAACTGGAAATTAATTTTATGCTACTGAACTATTAAAGCTCTCTAAAAAGTAAAGCACGTTATTTTGACCTGCAGGTCTTGTGCACCTGGAAAGCAGATCTCAAAAAGATGCATAGTTGGATTTTGAAATGTCTGTATTTTTCTTAACTGAAGCCAATGGAAAATCAATAGGTATGTTATGTTTATATGATATGTATGTATATTATATTAAGCAGCCTGCATATAAGGGCGTATTTGTGTCCAGTCAGAGGAGAGCACAAGTTACATCCTCCTTTCAGGATTACCCTTTACTCTGGGTGGAGAAAAACTAATTGCTGAGTGCCAGAGACCACCAGCTCTCTCACAGAACAGGGTTTTGCACATTGCCACGTATCTTAATTTCATGAAAGTTTTACCACGCATCGGAGAATCCTGGAAATCTAAGACAATAATCTCAATAGTTAATGTACATGCTCAATGTCCATCTACAAAAATGTGGATTAATTAAAGATAAAAGTATATTCATGTGGACACAATTCAGCTTACTGAATACACATATAGCCTTCTTAAGTACAAATTATTACCAGATAGTTTTATAAGTCAAAATAGTTCTTTTTTATATAGCATAATGGAATTTGCTCATATAACTTGATTAGATAGCTACATACCACAGAATTAAAGATAAATAGTTTACTTTTAGATAGTATTAGTCACAGTTATTGTAAGTGTCGCTATCACAAAGCCAGAAAGAAACATATGGATGGCATTCGTATCAGCAGATAAAAGACTTAAATCATGATTTTATTTAATGGGTGAATCTGTATCCATATTCAAGTCAATAACAAAGTGCTCACTGATTTCACAGTGTCCCGATCTCAGCGAAGTTACCCCAGGATTGGAACCACATCACATCGTAGCAGAATTACAGAAGAAACCCAACATCTTTAAGGGAGAATATTAATCCTTCTGCGCCATTTCAGAGTCACCCAGAAGAATGCTATACCTGTATCAGCATAGCTGTACCTCATGCCATATATAGAAAGGAGTTTTCTGTAAATGTGGTACGTTGTGTGTTAATTCATGAACCTGGTTATTTTCTGTAAAACCTCACTTCCAGGTATATCTGACAAGATTTTCCAAAATAACAGGATCAGATCTGTTCCAAAGTCTTGTTCTCTTGTGAATGGGCTGTGTGTTCATAAATATGTGAGGAGGAGATAAGGCGGGTCCCAGGCACACAACAACTTGCCAGCGGCCACAGCCCCGTGTCAGAAGCCCAGGAACGGCCTCCGCAGCGCTCAGCACCGGCCCTCGGAGACACGGGTGCCCCAAGGGGGCTGCATGAGGTAGGGGCACAGCGGGGAGCAGAACCTGCCCAGTCACTGCTCTGCACATCCCCTCCGCAGCGCCGGAGGGCTAGCACAGCAGAACAAGGGCAGTGCGAAGGGCCTCTGGGGATGGCCATGACCATGGGGCTTCATGCACAAGTCCCTTGCCATCCTGCTCCCACAGCCCCGGTTGCTTAGCACTACCTTGATCATTCTGAGCTGGTTCACACCTTGGTGTTGACCAGGTCATCCGAGCATAAAGTGCAAGAAAAGGGAAAAAATAAAGACATGCCAAGCGCCTTGCGCAGAGTACAGATGAAATCTGCACAACGCTGCTGAGAGTCTGCCCACCAGCAAGGGACTTAATCAGAGATAAAGTCAATGACAGAAAATTTGTAATTCAAGAGTAAGGTCTACCTTCTACCAAATGACGTCTCCATCAGACATATTCCTGCTTTTTTTTAAGGAAGAGAAAGCTGATATGTCACCATAAAACAAGTATTAAATATACAGAATCTCTTTACTATAAACTTACGTTCTTCCAGCTGCTACTGCCATCTGTCTCCCAGGCGCTCCTGGTGTACCAGGGAAGCCCTCCTTTTAAGACATGAGCGCTCTTATTTTCATTTCCTTCCAGCAGCCTTAGCAAATATTTGGACATTTCTTCCCACTGCAGATAGTCTTCCAGTTGCTTGGTATTTTCAGGTGATGCTGAAAGGGGGATTTTGTTTTCTTCTTCATCAACAGAGGGGAAATCTCCAGCACTCTTCTTCCCCATTAAATGTCCTGTGAGAACAACGGGGCAGCATGAAATTAGAAAAGATGCGAGTGGAATGGGACGGGACAGGAAGGGATGGGATGAAGCCAGATGACATCAAAGTTGAAGCACATCTGGGACTGGGAATTTTGTCCCAGTGTCGCACACAAGTAAATTCCTGTGTCTCTCACACCAAAAGGGCAGGGAGTGAGAGCCTGATGGCTGCCGGGATCGAGAGATTCTGCTGGAACGAGGAGCTATCGGAAGGGCGGCAGGTTTGGCCCTTCCTGCCTGGGCAGGGGCTGTGGCGGCTCCCGCAGAGCGGCTCCAGGAGTGGAGCTCGCTGCCCTCTCATGTCCCCGGCCTCGCGGCCACTAAAATAAAACGGCAAATGTCCCTGGGACGCGGAGAGGAAGCTCCCGGGGAGGAGAGGGCTGGGGAAGCCCCGAGCATCGGCTGCTCCTCGCGGCTCGGGGTCTGCGGGCGGCTCGAGGGCTCCTCGCGGCTCGGCCCGCGCGGGCGCCGCGGGGGGACGCGGGACACGGGACTTACCCACGGCCCAGTGGCTGCCGCGCGGGTAGATCTTGTTGAGCGCGGGGGAGCCGCCAGGCTGCAGCGGCG